TGAGCACAGAACACCATCACTAATTCTTCCTGCTTTTCCATGGTATCTGAAACCAGTTATGTTTTGCCCATCCTCAAGCCTGTCCATAAATCTGTTCCCCATCTGTATCAGAGAAGATGTTGCCTCACTCAGTGCTGCACCTGCTCTATTAAAGATGCCCACCCCGACAGCAGTTAGTAGAGGACAGCAGCCCTCCAACAAATTAGTGGCACTCAATGTAATGTGGAGAGATTGCATTAAACAGCACAGTTAAGTCATTGTGAACATTTTCTGCACTGGTTGAATTGACACTAATATGCCAAAAAAGCCAAAAACGCACTGATTTGGTCAGGTCACAGGAGAAACCACGGGGCCCTGTGGGTCCAGCTGTCACAGTCAGCAGGGATGTGTGAGCTCAGGCTCTCGGTAGAGGCAGTGCTCGCCCAGAGCCATGCGGGACTAGCCCCAGCATTTTGGAGGTCTGGCTGGGTGGCTTGGCCAGCCCTTTTGGCACAGTTTCTGCAACTACTTAAAACCACACAAACCAAGGGAGGCGAAGCAGCAGGACCAAGAACCCAGAGAATAAAAAAAAAATCAGAACATGCCCTGGCGATCTGAGCACAGGGAGATGATGCCTGAGCTGCCTTCCCGAGGGTGAGGGTTTGACCTCTCCCTCACCCCTGAGAGTCTGCCCCTGCTTCAGCCAGTTCCTTGGCAGAGCTAAGGATGCATGTGTTATTTATTCACTTGGATTTAAATAACAATGAGAAATGCCTGTAAGAAAGGAGATGCTCTAACAATTCCTGCAACATTCAGCTGCAAAAAGAGCTGCTTAGCAGCAAAAACTAATGACAAAGTGGTGACCTGACCTGCAAAGCTTGTTAGCAGCAGAACAAACCCCTCGCTCCTCCTGGCAAGCTGGACCCCTCCACTGCCCCTGCCAGGGTCTCAAGGCTCATTGTGCCTGGACAGCTCTGCAGGGCTCCCTTCCTTCCTTTCCTTTCCCCTCTTTCCTGCCAGCTCCACCAAGGCACCACATCAACTACGGGAGGGCAGGGAAGGACTTGGCGAGTCACAACTTCCCTTGGACCAGGAGCTGCTCAGGGATCTCTCCTGCTTCCCTCCTGCCACGGAATCGCTTCCCCTTCGCAGGTCTCGTCTCAGCAGCCCTCTTTCCTCATTAGTGTGTATGTGACTCTCTCAATAAAGCATTTTGTTATATGATGTACGAAGGACTGTGTCTCAAACCACATTTTACTGTATATTTAAGTGCATGTTTTGCTGATTTACTGCTGTTCCAGAGAATGTCTCCCTTCCCAAGCAGGGCAGGCCTGTAACGGATATATCAGCTCTGACTAATGATTATTAGTACATCCCAAGGTTAAGTCCCACAATCAAATAACGTGTAGGAGGGAAGAGAGACTCCAGCTTACTCGGCTGAGGACAAAGATCACAGATAGTCTCTTTCAATCTTCAGATTGCAATATCCATTACAGATTGCCACCTTCTAATGTCAAAGCATAATTTGTTGTCGAGAAAATGTGTCGCTGTTTCAGAGGCGAGTCAAAGATCAGCCTGGCTGT